GTCAGAGGTTACCTACAGGGTCATTTCAGGACACTTTAAAGACATTTGACAATGAGAGGACTTCATGGCAAAATGTAAATATCCAGCTTTTCAGTGTTTCTCTTCAAGGCTTTAACACAATGGCCTCTAGTTTCCCGGCGCGGCGCAGGGTGGCAAGCAGCGCAACCCGAGGTTTGGTAGTTTGGCAGACCGAGGTGCGCTGAGATGGGTGTGGCGGCGCAGCAGGGGGAGGTGTCGACAGATCCAGCTTGGCGCAGTGACAGTTTCGTGCTTTGCCGAAGGTGCGCTAAAAGCGCGCCAGCTGAAACCAGGTCTACTGTCAACACAGGCAGAGCACAGCCGGTGTAAGTGGAAGTTTGGCTGACCGGCAGACAGTGCGCACACGTCACCAAAACCTCACAGGCAGGTTTCCAGAATATCAGGCACATTAACGATGCAATAAATACCCACAAAAACCACTATTCAATGCAACTATCTGCAATCAGCACATAAATGTATCTCTATATCGACTGTCCCGTCACATCTGATGTCAGATCAAAGGGGATTGGCACCGTTTGGCACGTTTGGCAGGCGTAATGGAAACCCAAACTGATTTGATTAACACAGCCTGCAAACTAATGAGTTCACATCCCTCTCAGCCAACCACAAACAGCCACAGCATCAGATAGGGAGTATATATTCAGCATCTGTCATCTTAGAAAAGTTAAAAGAAAAGAAACAGAGTGAGACTGCGAGAGAGAAAGAGAGCGCGCGCGCACGAGAGAAACGCAACATTGATTTACAATTGTGGTGACCTCCTCCCAGGCTACCTTTGCATCATCAGCCCGTGGAGGTCTGCTCGCAGTTCCGTATATTCGGACACTGCGAGCTTGGACCTCCCGGACCAATCAGTTTCCTCCTGGGAGGAGTTTGGCCGTCTGACGGTCCTGCTCTCTTCTGCCATGGCGAATTGAGTAAACTCTCATTACACATTCGCGCGGCGCATTTAAGGGCGAGGAGAGGGGCTCATTTGATTGGTGGGATGTGAATCGGCTGTGTAAAACCCACTCCACGCCTTCTCTCCTCCCTCTTTCCGACTTGCGCAGGTAGGAGGGACGGAGGTGGGAAAGAGGAGTAGCTGCGCCAGGCGCACGGTGTGCCAAACTTGCAAAATCCGCCTGGCCACACCCAGTTGGCGAAGCGCAGGTTTGCTGCGCCTCCGCCTTGCCCGGTCTGCGAAACTAGAGCCCATTGGGTTTATAATAAAACAATTTTTACCTTTAAAAAGAATGAAGGGAGAGCTCTAGTTTAGATTTTTTTCTTAGCTAGTCTAAAACATGTCATTGTTAGCTTAGTTGTTAGCAAAAAATCCCAGCTGGGGATGTCAAATTCTTTATAGGGTTGGTTTTCACATGGCTGGATTAATAACTGACAGGCTGTAAGGGAGAACGGGGTTGGTTGTCACTTTTTACCTTCATTTGAATCTCTCTCTCTCTCTCATATTTCCGTTTAGTTTATTGTGCAACAAATGCACATGGTTAGTTTTAGGCAACAAAAGCACATGGTTAAGTTTAGGAAACAACATCATGGTTTGGCTTTACATTTATATGTGAAGCAAACACGGGCCTCCTGGATGGAAGCCTGGTGTTGTTGGACCCATACACCACCCCTCCCACCCTCCCACCCGCCCAATAGGAAAACTCTCCAGCTCCTTAAATTACATTGTTGTCTGGTGGCACTTTAAACTGATGCCATTTGGTGGTATAACATAGTGCTGCAAAAGGATGCCTGTTTTTCATCGGAGTCTTATGCAGAAATGTGTGACCAAGCAGTGGTACAACTTTGGAATGAGAACAGGCTGTGTGAACAGAATTAGCTTAAGCATGGAAGGGTCAATCCATTCCTACCTGACACTTTAGGCTTCCTTTGAAAGACAGTCTATTTAAGATACAATTTTCGAGGGATTCAAATGCAGTGTTGGGCAGTAACATTGCTACTTGTAACTACAAGTAGCTACAAGTAGCAACATTACTAACTAACATTTCTCAATAGCGTGGTGGTAATGTCAATACTTTGTGAGTCAAATAGCTTTCCAGTAGTGTTAGCTCTCCAGTAGAGTTTATGAATTGACTGAGTAGTACGGTAGCATCCATCTAAGTTATGAGCTATTTTTCCCAGGAAAAGCTCTTAATTGCAGCTGACTTTTTTTCTGCAAAGGAGAATAAAAGTAAGTGAGGATGAGTAATGTGACTGACACCAGAGCCACACAGAGGCATGTAGACGAAGGAAGCACTTCCATATGACATCACATACTAATCCTTCATTTTATTCTGCTCACTGCTTCGCTATTGGCTTTTCTTAGCAAGACCTGCCTACTCTGCCTCTGATTGGCTACACTGCACTTCTTGATGTGTCTGTCACATGACTTGTCCAGCGATTGTATATATTTGGTGGATTTGCAGTGGACACTAGAGAAATAGACACAGCAAGGGCCAAGAAAAGAGTGGGAGGGACAGAGAACAGTATGAAGAAGGAAGAGAGGAGAGAGAGAGTGACATACTGATGTCACGTGTTATTTGCAGGACATGTTCATATGCTAATGTCCCAAAAAAGGAAAAGTTTTCATTCAGGTCTGTTATTTTTATTGTTTATTGAATGTCTTTTATGTATTTATTTATTTATGTATTGACTGAAAAATATATTTTGGAAATCTCTTTTTGAATGACTGACAGAGCCAGAAAGCCTACTGAAAGAGGCCAAGACAAAGAAATGCATTACGTAGAAAGAGGTGAGATAGAGAGCGCAATATGCCAACTGATGATGGCATGTTATTGGAGGACAGGTTCAGATGTCACAAAGTCTTTGGATGATTTGACATAGTCAAGTCAAGTCAAGTCAAAAAATAAAAGTAGCTTTGCTAGTAGCATGCTACTTTTGCCATTTTCTTGTAGCTTAGCATGCTACATTTCTGTGGAGATAGCTTCAATGAAACTTTATTTTGATGTCTAGTAGCTGGTAGCGTAGCTCACTACATTTTCCAAGTAGCTTGCCCAACACTGTTCAAATGAAAATAAAAAGTGTAACATCCACGACTATTCTCCCTACTGGTCCACAGAGCTTGCTGGTTTGTTTCAGATCAGCAACTTACAGTCCAAAACCCAAAAATATCCAGTATGCTATCACATTAGACAAATATTCCCTTGGAAAGTGACTCAAATCATTAATAGATTATCAACTAGTTACAGATTCCTTTTTTTTGTCAGTCCATCAACTAAAACAAATATGTGAGCTATTTTGCTATTTTCTAAATATCTGTATTTATTGTGGTAGTGATAATATTGGTTATGATTTACATTAAACTGCCAATGATGGTAACTTTGCAGCCATCTGTGCAAAGAAATTTGTGGACAGAAAATTCCCATATGCCATCTCCTATGCATAATTACAACTCAGAGGCTGACTTGAACCGTTTTGTGCACTCAGGTGCTCATATTTACAACTGATGCAATATTAAGTGAAGATGGTTGGCATGTTGCTATTTGTGACTGTCTTGTTTCCCTGGAAATATATGTGGCAGTCCTTCTATTTGACTCGTCTTCCTACTGTAGCGTCACTAAATGTATCTGTCCTGCCTCTGTGCTTCCCCTACACTTGGAGTTTTAGTCTCAGATATGTGCCTCATGTTTTGGTGCCAGTGTACTTAATCTCACCCCAGTTAGAACATTTAAATAAAAACTCAAAAGTATTTTTCAGTGCTGTGAACTGGAACAGTGCCTTCATGATTAAAGTTCAAGTGATCCGTTCCTGTGTGTTGCTACATGTAGAAACAGACAAAACAGTGGAAAACAACATTTTCTACATGTAAAGGGTTAGCAGGAGGCTTTATATCCACACAACTGCAACTCCAGTAGGCTAATATAAGTGAGTTTCTGCAGACTGGGTTTGACCCAGTTAGAATATTGCTTACACATGACAACTGTCCTGAACTGGAGCTACTTATTGCTTAGTCCACAGCAGCCTGAGCAGGTCCATTTCAAAGCTCAACAGAAGGCTTTTAAGTTACAGCTGCATTGATGATGACAAATATAAATTAGCTCAAATGTATGTGATGGATTATATAGTGTGTTTCCTTTTTGTCAAATTACTACATTGTATTACAGTAAATACCCTGTAGTTAAGGAGTGGTAAGTGGATCCAGCATCAGTCTGTGTGCAGATGCAGAAGGCATTGCTGGAGATACAATCTTGGGACCCATCTGCTGTTGTCTGCTGACAGGTTAGCTTTACATTAGCTTTAAATTTATCTGCATACAAATGCAGATATCTGTTTATAGAGATTGGCCAAAATGACCCATGCATGGAAGAGGAAGCCATGGCTTGGATATCCACTGGCTACACTGGATCAGCTTGGAATATTGCCCTTTGCCCCCAGAGGCTTTATCATCATCAGACAATAGCCGATGGCCTCTGAGACTGGGTAGTGTCTTTCCCTCTGTTTCTTTCAGACTCTGTCATGCACACATAAACCAATGCAAACAGGATTTCCTAAATGTCGCTCTATTAGATAGGAATGAGCAGACAGAGAAAATGGACAATAACTTACTAAAGCACACATAATCTCTTTGTAATTACTACCTTTTTTATTTATTTTAACTTTATTTAGGTTTTTACTCTTTTATTGTCCTTTTTTCTCACCCTGTATAGGTGTCTGAGTCTGTGTAGGAGTTAAACGTGCTGTTTCCTTTTTCTGTTTGTTGAGAAAATCAATAAATATTCAAGTAAAATAAAAAGACAAATACATGTTAACTAAATTAACTTTTTTAATATATCTCTCACAAGTACTTGCAAAAACTTTTGTCACTCATATTTTGGTTTCTTATGCAAGAATTAGATTTTTTGTGTATTTTTTTTTTCCTCTCCAGAAAGCAGGCAAACACACACACACACACACACACACACACACACACACACACGCAATGTAAGGTGTACATACTGTGTCTTATATTGTGTTTTTTGCCACAGGAGCCAGTTTCAAAGGTAGAAAATGAGGCCAGTGAGGGGATGGGCAGAGTGGATGAAGGAGTAGAGGAATTCTTCACCAAGAAAATTATCCCTGACTATGCACTGTGAGTTGAACACACACACACACACACACACACACACACTTTTTCTTGGACTTACTGTAATCAATGTGTAATTTTATGAATGAATGAAAGCCATGATTGACTGGCAGTACCAGTCAGTCTCACAGACTCCCTTCTTCTACTCACCTGCTTCAAATAGTGATTGACAGTGGCAGCCAATCAGTGAGCAGAACTGATCCCATTGCTGATTTTCAAATTGAAAAGTCATGGCAGCTTGGACATAAATGTTCTTTTGGTACACAGAAGCAATCTGATAAACCAGTGGTTCCCAAAGTGGGTGCCGTGGCACCTTAGGGTGTCTTGAGAATGGGCCAAGAGTGCCATAGATTTGTCACATCAGTCCAAAGTTCAGCTTTTTTTTTTTTAAATAGCATTTCACCACATTAAAAAAAAATCTGCAACATTTATTTGCACTACATTTTACATTAAAATTGAAACAAAAAAGAAAAGCATAAACAATAAAATCACCATATTAAAAACTCTGTTTATGCAATTATGCCACAGCTAATGACAACAAACAGCTCACGCTTGGTGGATGTTATAGTAACAAAACACACTTTCCAGCTCAAAATTTTTTTCTGGAGCTCAGCATTTAGAAAAATCATGACTTTTCACAATAACTGGTGAGTAAGCAGAGAGCCTCTACTGCTGTAACTGTATATTTTGCATCAAAAAGGCAAAGACTAAAGCTCTCCTGAAAAGGTCTAATAACTACTGAAACAAGAGTGTATTGTTTTTGTAATAATTGTGCTTGTGATTCCACTCCTGTAGCTGTATGTGTAGAATGCATGGTAAATGTTTCTGTAGTGTCCGTTCAGTATAACACCACATATACACACATCCTTATCTATAGTATGTCCTGCCCCTGCCTGAGTTTGCTGTTTCAGTTCACTGAGCACAGAATAATTAAGATAGTTTTTGCTGTTTATTTATCTATTTATTTATTTATCAGGTCAGATATCAAGAATGAATTGCCATTTTGTAATCACTCAATTAGCCAGCCTGCCACTGTTTGGGAGTGTGTAAATTTTCCCTAATCACTGTGCCTCCATCCCCTGGATGTCATTTTTAGTTGACAGCAGTGGCTACAATTAGATAGCTTCCTGTGTGATGAAGGGCCCCTTAAAAGAATTTTCTGGGGCTTCCAACAATATCTTACAGTCTTCATCAGTGAATGTAACTGGTTCAAGCATCACCACAAAACCTATCACATCAGTGTGACTGTGATATTGACACATCAAATACAGTGCCATATAACAACTTCAACTCAAGTTAGACTCCATGGCCCAATCCCAGTGTCCCCTTTGAGCATGATGTTGAAATGGTATAAATAGGAAGGTTCAGTTGTGGGTTTGGCACTAACTGGCAATAGCCGTGGCCAAAGGCATTATGTTTTCGGGTTGTCTGTACATACGTGAGGGAATTTCTTCAAATTTGGCAAAAATGTCACTTGCACTCAAGGATGAACTGATTAAATTTGGTGGTCAAAGGTCAAGGTCACTGTGACCTTGTCTGTCTCACTCTTGTTAATGCGATATCTCAAAAGCACCTATATAGAATTTCTTTGAAATTGACACAAACGTCCACTTGAATTGAAGAATAAACTGATAAGAATTTTGTGGTCAAAGGTCAAAGTTGGTATGACCTCACAAAGTATTTTTTGGCCATAACTCAAGAATTCATATGCTAATTATGACAAAACATCACACAAATGTCTAATAGGATAAAATAATGAAGTGATAACATTTTATATTCAAAAGGTCAAAAATCAGCTTCACTGTGACATCATTATGTTCTGCAAAAACATTTTTTCGGCCATTACTCAATTCATAATTCAGGAAGAGAGGGGGAGAGACTTGGTCAGATACTGAATTGGTGACACTAATCTTGGGTGTCCATCTTGAAACTGTGCTGATTGTATAGATTTTCTGTGCTGCTGGAGGGAAGATGTGTGTGAAGCATCCAAGTTTTCACAGACATGGATGTAAACTGTAAGAGAAACTTGTCTGGTGTGTGGAAGCATACATTTGTGGGGCCGTAATTCTAGTTTTGTTTTTTACCTTCATCACTCACGACTAAGGCACTACAGGGGTCAGTCCCTGATTTGAATGTCTTCCAGGCTCTTGTTTTACAGAGTGGACAAGAGGTAAAAGTCAGATAATCAGTTTGTCAAAACAGCCTCATTCAGCACAAATTAAAAGACATGGCTGATGAATGTGTCAAATAGCCTTTGCTTGCATGCCTCAGATTTTGGGTTTTTTAATGACCATCTTGAATCCGGTAACCACATGTTTTAAAGATCCACTGTGTAGGATTTAGGGGATACATTGGCAGAAATGGTATAGAATATAATAAGTATGTTTTCTTTAGTGTATAATCACCTGAAAATAAGAGTCATTGTGTTTTTGTTACTTTTGTTATTTTAGAATGAGCTGTATCTACATAGGGAGCTGGTCATCATCTACGGAGATTGTCATGTTGCACCACCACTGTTTCTACAGTAGCTCAGAACGGACAAATTAAACACTGGCTCTAGATATGGACTTTTGCATTTATTTATTTTACATTTTTTACGTCTGTTGCGTTTTTTGCATTTTTGCATTAGCCACTATAGTTCGTAGATCCTCAAAGAAAGCATAGGTTAAAACACAGGTTTGAGGAGTGAAACAGCCTTATTCGGAGTCTTAGCTGCTCTAAATCACCAGGTCTGTGTGTGGAAAAGACTTCTGTGGATAATTTGGCTCACGGTAAAAACCTCCTGAACGTCTGGATCAGAAATAAGATGGACACAGATTAAGATAGCAGAGAAAATAGTTGAGCACACATTAACAGGGGCTGGGCTAGCAGAGTTAGGATTAGAGTTAGGGACCTCTGCGGATATAATGCAGGTAAAAACCTCCTGAACAATAAACACTGATGGAATTCTAACTTCATTTGGTCACAATCTGCAATCCTTACCACTATCTGCCACTAAATTTTACACTCTGTTGTTTTAACGTCACAATTAATTGTGGATAATTCCCACAGGCAGCTTCTGCAGAAATGCAGACTTACAGAAAGTGTGCATAAAGGTCTCAAATTGTCAGCCCTCATGCACCTGATGATTTAACAGTGGGGCAGCACTAAGCCCTCTTTGTGGGATTGCACCTCAAAGTCCATGGGTCTATGAGTGAGGAGATTGGGATTGGGCTCATGTCTGTGTAGCTGGCAGTGTCAGACATCAGAGCAGTATGAACAGAACCATGTTCGCTGACTGCCCTGCTGTTGGCATCCATTTAAACATTCTCATTTTCACCCATTGTTGACAACAGCCACAGAGCAAAAGCAGCACATCAGCAGCTGCTGTCCACTACAGCTGTTCATCCAAAGAACCGCCATCCAAGTTTTAACAGAATTCACAGCCCCATACACAATCCTGTAGTTCCACCTGTACTATGTGAAGAAAAAAAGATTTGGAGCCTAAAAACCTATCCACCCCCAACCAGTGTAGGCAGCAGCAGTGGTTAAAATGGAAGCATAATCTCTTCTTCATGGATGGATTTATAGAACTGTACATGGTGCCAAAATTGTGGATCCTTTGACCTGACAGTGATGCTAGACCAAGTTTCAGGAAGTAACCAAAATAATTAATGGGCAATGAATATCAAGACAAATGTCATGGTAATTTGGCCAGCAGTCATGTAGATACCTTGCTCTGGACAAAGGATGTCAGTTTTGATTTATTTTGTTTTCAAAATGCTGACACCCATTAGCCAGTAACTAATTTCAAAGCACTATCAATTTAGAGGTGGAGAAATTTTAATGTTTTCTGTGTAAATGTTTTGCCTTTTATTATATTTTTTGTTGGCAGACAGCCAGCCAGAGACACATGTCCACTGCACAATTTCCTGTCTCGAGTGGTAGGCTATTTTGGCTGCACTGCATGCCATGTGGGTTGGGTGGGAGCTAATGTTAGCTAGCTAGTGGCGTTACTCATTTGACAAAGAGCACGTTGCTGTAGAAACATCGTGCCCACCCTCTGGTCTCCCCCCAAGTCACCCCAATGAGTAAGCACCTTCATTTTGAGCCTTAAAACCCTTTTAGCATTGTAAACTATGTTAGCACCACTAGTCGTGTTAAAACTGCTAATGGTGCTAACAGAGCTAACACTGATAACACAGTCAACGATGGTTTCGTGGTTCAAAATTGAGCCACTTACTTACTGCGGTGAGCAGGGGGAGACTGGAGGGTGCGCACAATGTTTCCACAGCAACACCGTAGGGTCGGGACGGCGTTACTGGCAGTGATTGCTGAATGAGTGGCATCACTAGCAAGCTCCTACCAGTCCTGGGTGGTGCGCAGCAAAATTAATCAATAGATCGACATGCGTAACTGATTAACAGTAAAGTTTTGACATCTGCACTCTGGACCAAACTGTATAGCAGATTGACAGACTGACCATCATCACCATGCCAGGCCTCTTCTGTTGTGGAGCAAAACGTAGTACTCACTGTGAGATGTTTTTGCTCTGTGTGCTGTTTGCATGACCCTTCTCATTTTGTACCTTAACTGAGCATGTGTCTTGAGTCCTGTAGCAGTAGTAGTTGTAGTACTGAGTGTCTCTTCTTGTCTGTTGCTCTTTCTGCTGTCTCCCTGCTGCAGAAAAGGCCGGTGGGAGGAGTCAATCCCTGCCCAAGCCACTCCCTCAGAGTCAAGCTCCACCCCCTCAGCCTCAACCCCCTTTTCCTCTTCGTCTGAAAATATCACCTCCTCTACCACCACCGCTGTCACCTCCCCCTCTGTCCCATCTACTGACACATCCTTTACATCCACTGATGTTCCACCCCTCTCTACATCCTCCACTTCCCCCACCCCCTCTTCTGTCACCACCACCACACTTCCCACCAAAAACATCAAGAAAAAGTTTGGCGACTTCTTTGCCTTCAAGAGAGCTCGAGCCAGCCGAGCTGCCAAGGCAGGAGGGGGTGAGGGAGGAGGAGGAGGAGAGGGGGTGAAGGTCAAAAGGACCTCCATTGCAGACCTCATTCGACCCCTACGCGAGGCCAAAGAAAGGGAGAGAGAGAGGGAGAGGGACAAGGAGAGAGAGAAGGGGAGAGGGGCAAGGTCAGTGGAGGATGCTAACGTTTCTAATGATGCCACCACCACAGAAGGAATCGTTGCCACCAGCCACCATCTTGCAGGCGATGCGAGGGGAATGATGGAGCCTGCCAAGACATTAACGATGATGACACCTTCCAGTGAGACCACTCCCTCTTACCCCACCATCGCCACCAGCCCTGACCTCACCACTGCCACACTTTCCAATCTGGAGGAGGAGGCAGTTCCTGTCTTGCCAGGTCGCACCCCAAGTCCTGTGGTCACCTCCCCTCTAACTGAGCAGGAGAGGAGTGCTGCGCAGATGCAGGAGATGAAGTTGGGAGGGACTCCATATGGAGAGAGGAGACTGAAGGTGACCAAGAGGTCACTGCGAGAGGGCAAGAGCCAGAGTCTCATACTGCTGACGGGATTAGAGCCTGAAGACAAGGAGGACACCCACAGCAAGGTCAGTCTGCCAATACACTGAACACACATACTGAAGAAGAGAGGGGCAACTCCAGCAAACACCAAACTGCTAATACTGTCAAATCTTAAAGGAGCTATATGTAAGAAATATAAAGCAAATAGTCATAAAATCCTCCTAATATGTCACAGAGACTAAGGAATAATGTTCATTTAACATACTGATCTCACCGACAACAATAGTACAGCCAGAATATTCGCATTTAAAAAACATTTTTACGGTCCGCAAATCATGTTTATGTTTTGAATTTGTGTTTTGGCCTGTTGCTCCACCCACTGCCGTCTACCAGTCACGCAGTCAGTAGAGTCTCAGCATCAGTTACAGTTACGACTGAGCTACAGCAGCACGGCAAGCAGCATTAGCAGTGTCCCGGTACATAGCATTAGCAGCCGGCTCCTCATGAGCTGAGCGTTAGCAGCAGAGAAGCCGGACTTGCTCGAACGGTCCGCTGGAAAACCGAAGATCAAGGACGCGGTGACACAGCCCTGCCATGGCAGCCGCCCGTGGGCAAACAAATCAGTCTCCAGCGTGCCGCTGTCCAGCAACCTCGAATCTGGAGGGGAGGGGGGGCGGACACGACTCGCGGCAGTATTTTGAATTTGAGTGCAGTAATCGTTTTTGTCACATTCTTACATACAGCGCTTTTAAATACTGCTGAGAACCAGGGACCGGTCGCACAAAACACCTTGGGTTTTCTTGTTAAGTATGACACTTAAGGCTTAGCTTCTCCTTAGCTTAGACTTACACATTTGCAGAGAATCCCTTCAAAGGTTTTCTTAGTTAAGGAAAAATATTAACTAATTTACTGCATTGATAGAGATTATACAGCTGTAAAAGTTTTCATGGAGATTGTTTGTTTGCTTGAACTCACACTTGTTATGCCTGTTATCATCTTACAAAGTTGGCTTATAGTTCGTGAAAAAATGGCAGAAGAAAAGAAAACAACAAAACCATATTGGTCAGAGGAGGAAAAGATTATAAATCTGGAGGAATACAATCCTAATCCCATTGTCCCCATCACTGTGCCTCCTAGGAGATACCACACATTTATTATTATAATCATTCTTATTACTATGTAGTTTCTCTCTCTCCTCTCTTACACTTACCCCACAACCACACACACACACACACACACACACACACACAATCCACCAAATTGCACAACCCAACTTCCAACTCCCCACCCAATCCCGTGCCCTCTGGTGTGTGGGGGTGGCTCAGCGGGGATGGCCTTGGGCCCGGCCATTCACAGTGGTTTCCTGGTGGTGAGGCTGGCACTGTGTAGCCAATGGATGCTGGTCTCCCCGGTGCCAGTTGGCAATGACAACAATAAAAACAAGGAATGCTGAATTGGATGAGCAAACCACCTCCTGAGGGTCTGGGGGTTGCCCACCAAGGTCTTAGCCTCAATCATTCAGAAGAGTGGAGAGAAAAAAAAGTATAATAATGGAAAAAAAATTAATAAATAACTAAAAGGCCCACACATTGCGCTGGGAAATCTCTGGCTCCCTTTTGTCACGCTATTGCCATAACATGCTTCAGGCCTCCGCTTTGATGGCTGGGTCTGGTGTCTGCCCTGCTGCCCCCCCCCCCACCACCACCACCACACGCACACGCATGCACACACACACACACACACACACACACACACACACACACACAAATGATATCTCTTATCTCCTCTCATCGTCTTCTCCCCTCCCTTATTTGTTTATTTTGTACTTTTTCTTTCTTTACTGTCTTTCTGTAAGTTGTAAGCTGCCAAGTTGTATAATCTTGTTTATCTGTTTATTGTGTACTTGTCTCTTTTTTTTTTGTGAACGTCTTTCTGCACAATAAAGAAAAAAGGAATACAATCATAGAAAACACATACTACAAAGTAAATCCCTAAATATCGGAAAACAGAAAACAATTGTAGGAAGAAATTGAAAGGAAAATCAGCTCAGTCAAATCTGTAGTGTAAAACCAAAAGCATATCCATTGGGTCCTCCTGGTCACAGAACACTCTTCTCAGGGTGTGTCACGTTTTTCATTTATCACCATAAACTCGGTCATGTTGCAGTTTAGAGTCAGAGGTACCTTAAGTGTTTTTTAACTTGCTTTAGTTGCTAAGGTCTTTTGTGCAACAGAGAAAACCATAAATAGTGAACAATTTAAGGAAATCTTGAGAAGACTTATGGGTGTTTTGTGCAAGTGATTTTGTTTTGAGGAATCCTTAACCAGAACTTAAATGAAAATCATAACCGACGTATTTTATAATACAAGCAGTAGAGGTGAAGGGATGCCGCTTGTCTGTAGTAAGGCAGTGACAGAGAGTGAGGTTACTGAAGGTAAAACGTTTCATAAAGCACTAATTGACAAGTTTGTGGACAGCTGTTGTTAGTATGCTAGCCCTGCTAGCTCCTGCAGTTAGTGTTTACAACCCAACCATTGCCTCCTGTGCCCTCTGCCCTGGGCCACACAGCAAGAGTACTTTTCAGCAGGTGGATTTGCAGTCTGACTGTAGGCTTCAGGTCTGTTTGGGTGTTCACAGGCTGTTTGATTGATGTCCTGCAGACACTCATGCTGGTTTTGTTGCACTAGCTGTGGTGGGACAAATGACATCTTTATCATTCTAATGAGTTTAAATAATCCTGGACCTCACTTACATTTCAGCAAAGTTTTTCATAGTTTGTCAAAAAGACCACAGGTCTAATCAGCTAAAATAACTAAAACACCTGTGGAGGTGTACATTATCTATCTCAGTTATAATGCAGACCAGCCAACAGTTTTACTGTAGATTCTTTTCCTGTTTCTGTTGACAGACAATTGAACAAGCATAAAATAGTGACTGCACCTCATATCATGTTTTTCTTTACCAGGGAGATATTCCTAGTTGTGCTCTAGTGCTGATTAAATTGTTACATTACAATCATCACATATTTACAAAATCAACATAAATACAATAAATGCTCTTGTCAGTGTCAATTGATGGGTGGAGTGTGCTGTCTCTGCCACAACTACTTTTTACTGAGAACATATATCCAGGTTAATGACAGCTGCTCTGTTATATGTTCAGCTGTATTGCCACTTAAAATGCGTGACCACAGAGAGAGTTTGAGGCAACAAAATTATGTAATTTAAGCTCTGCTGCCTCTCAGATCCTGTTTCTCACAGGGCAGGTTTATATCAATGTTTTACAAAGGCTTATATTTCCCTGCACACACTAAAACACCAAGCTGGCATATTAGGAGTTATCCATGTTAGAATACATTTCAGAAAACTATTATTTGCATGAGAAAAACACAGGCCCACTCTGGACAGAGGTTCAAAGCAGAGTAAAAAAAAAACACCCTTTGACCATCTCAGGGTGGTATCTGTGTCATCCTCAAGCTCGGGTCCTCTACCAGAGGCCTGGGAGTTTGAGAGTTCTGCACAGTATCTTAGCTGTTCTTAGGACTGCACACTTCTGGACTGAGGCTTCAGATGTTGTTCCTGGAACCTGCCGGAGCCACTCTCCCAGTTTGGTGGTCACTGCTCCAAGTGCTCCTACTACCATGGGTACCACGTCAACTTTGACCTTCCATATCTGTTCCAGCTGTTCTTTCAACCCTTGATACTACTCCACCTTTTTTGTGTTCCTTCTCTCTGATGTTGCTGTCGGCTGGTATCACCACATCTATCACTACTGCCCTCCTCTGGTGTTTGTCAACCACCACTATGTCCATTTGTTTAGCCAGCAGCTGTTTGTCAGTCTGGAAGCTGAAGTCCCACAGGATCTTAGCCCTGTTGTTCTCAACCACCTTTGGAGGTGTGTCTCATCGGGATTTGGGTACTTTGAGTCCAAACTGGGTACAGATGTTCTTGTACACTATCACAGCCACTTGTTTGTACCTCTCCATGTATGCTAATCCTGCCTGCATCTTACACCCTGCCACTATGTGCTGGACTGTCTGAGGGGCATCTTTGCACAGTCTGCGCCTTAGGCCTGATCTGCTGTGGTTGACCCTGGCCTCTATGGCCTTTGTGATTAGGGCCCGTTCTTAAGTTGCAATGATTGGTGCCTGAAGGTGGTATGCACCGTGTAGGTGCTTGTCCCTCCATGTTGTTTGCTCCTCCACTCCTTTGCCCTCCTCTGGTTTCTGTTGTTTGAGGCATTCACTTAGCAGCTTATGCTTTGGAGCCATCTTCTTGATGTACTCCTGGATTTTGGATGTTTCATCCTGGATAGTCGCTCTGGTCCTCGGCCTCCCTCTTTCCACATAGTGTATAGCCTCAGGATGCTGGACTAGGGGTGGAACCCTCCATGCATGGTGAGGAGCTTTCTTGTGTTGATATCTGTGGCTTCTGTCTCCTCCTTTGGCCAGTTTATGATCCCAGCTGGGTATCTGATGACTGGCAGTGTGTCCATGTTGATGGCTTGGACCTTGTTCTGACCATTCAGCTGACTTCTCAGGACTTGCCTTACTCTCTGGCAGTATTTGGTTGTGGTCAACTTCCTCGCAGTCTCCTAATGATTTCCATTAGCCTGTGGGATCCCAAGGTACTTGTAGCTGTCCTGGATATCTCCTATGTTGCCCTCTGGTAGGTCACCTACCTCAGTTCTGATCATCTTGCCTCTCTTTGATACCATCTGGCCACACTTGTCTAATCCCAATGACATCCCTATGTCCTTGCTGTAGATCCTGGTGGTGTGGATCAGCGAGTAGATTTCTCGCTCATTCGTGGCGTACAACTTGATGTCATCCATGTAGAGCAGGTGGCTGATTGTTACTCCACTTCAGAATCTCTCAAGAAAGTCTTCTTGATGATCTGACTGAGGGGATTCAGGGCTGTGCAGAATAGCAGTGGTGACAGTGCATCCCCTTGGTATATGCCACATTTGATGTTGACTTGGGCAGTCGGCTTTGAGGTTCGCCTCTAGGGTTGTCTTCCACATTCCCATAGTTCCAGACATACTAGTATCCATGTACAGTCAGGTCCATAATTATTTGGACAATGAT